CTTTTTATATTCCTCATCTAAGAACTTCTCTAGGGGGATATGACAGAATAGTAAAAACTTTCCAGCCAAGCTGTAACAATTTCTGCCTGATTAACAATGACAGGAACATCTCATTAGAAACAAAAGCAAGAATGCTGAATTGATATAACATCAGACCTCCTATATGAGAGTGAATGCTGGAAAATCTTCTCACAGATGAAGAAGAGACTTGAGACAACAGAGCAGTGGTTCTATAGAAAGATGCTAAGAATACCATGGCCAGATCATGTAAACAATGCAAAATGTGCAATGAGGAAGTTTTAAGGAAAACAGTAACAAAAAGTAAATTTTCTTTAGAAACAAAAAGAATAATGCTGAAGTGTTATGTAATACCAATCCTCTATATATGACAATGAATACTGGACAATCTCCTCAGAGATGATGAAGAGACTTTAGGCAATAGAGATGTGGTTCTATAGAAGGATACTCAGAATAACATAGACAGAACATGAGGGTAACGAGTATGTTTTGAAGGAAATAGAAACAAAAAGGTCACTTGTATTTTGAATAATCCAGAGACAGTTGAAAAATCTGACACATAATGAGAAAGTAAATACTAAACACTCCTAGTGCCATCTAATCAATGCAGAACAAATTTTTGTGTCAAACTCAGTAAAATCAACTTGTATTTGAAATTGAACTGGATGAGATAGTGTTAGCTGTCAAACTGTGCTACACACTGGTTGACAGTTCTATTTCTCATTAAAAGGATGAATTAAAAATATGGTCATTAGCTTGAAAAGATGGATTGTTTGTTCAACTTTTGTAAAATGTTTGCTTCTATTTTTCTATGACTCTTTCTTAATATCATTCTTCATTTAAAAGTCATTTCCCTTCAATCCACCAATATAGTTTTCTTTCCCTGAACGCTCTCATTATGTTGAAAACTCTGAAACATTGTTTCATAATTTTACTTGCCATCCAATTCCAAGTGAAAGTCAACTCATTATTCTACAATTATCCTTGCTAGATGCTCTTAGCCAATGCTTTCCTTCTGTTCATTCTGTAATTTCTTCATGTCTTGGCAAAGCAGGGATGATTGAATCTACTTAGGAGCAACTCATTCTTATTAGAATTTACATCAGAATATCTTTTTTTTCCTTTTTGGGAATACTATCAAATTCAATCTTTTTTATTGAATTTCTTCTTCTTTTATGTGTCCTGCCCCTTCAGAACATTGATTATAATGGCTCTCCACAGCTTCCTATCCTTCGTAGATCAACGCCATATTAATCCCCTTACTATCCCTCACAGTTTCTATTCTGCCATCTATTGATACAAACTCATTAAATAGGTTACTTGTTGTTTCTCTCTGCCATTCTTGCCTTTAGTATGTCCTATCAGTGTCAAATTCTTCAAGCCCTCTTTCCTCATTATGTGTTCCAAAAATGTCTTTTTCTGATTCTAAGTATAAGTAAAGAAACAAAATCAATAATGATTAATCATTTTTTTTATCAAATTCCAATAAAAGAAAAAAGGTAATTTTATTTCTAAATAAAGTGAAATACATTGCAAATTTTTTATTGACGAAAATTACACAAACTCATTAGGTAGGTTAGGTATGGCTTTCCTCGGTCTTGTAAGTGTTAAAACTCCCTTGTGGCTCACATGTTTCATCCACAATGAAATGGTAATAGTAATATCAACTGTTTTCTTATAAGGAAACATTTGGCATTCACTAACCAATCAGTCAATACTACTTTTGGTTGAAATTTATAAAATCTCTCTCTCAAAACAATTTTTCAGAAAGACAGGTTCCTCAAGTCCAGTAGCTGTTATTTCTCTTTCAATTTTGATAGAGGTTTCCTTCCTAACCTTTTATTTAAATTAGTATGGAATGTTAGCATCTTGATTATATCATTATTTTCTCTTCAAGTTACATGTGATATCCATTTTAGTTGTTGTACTCATTGAAAGTCCCCAAGTGATGTTGTTTTTGTTATTTGGCATGGTTCTTTCTTTGTGATTCTGCAGCACCAGTTCACAATGTTCAAAGAAGAATGGTCTTCACCAATACCCACAGGCTTCATTTGGTCAAAGCCATTGACCTTAGAAAACGGTTGCATACAGCTGACACTTTAGATATTTCTGAATGGCTTTGGTACAGTGAATGACATATATTTGAAAGTTTTCATTTGAGATTATTTAAGAACATGACTTGAGTTTTTAAGTTAATGTTTTGATTTTATAGCAGCTTGCAGTGATGGGTGAAACTAACTCGAGTACAGCCTATTCTGTCTTCAATTTCCTATACTGAATTTGTTAAAACGGATCCATACACAGAGGTATTTGAAGTATTTAGTATTTACTAACTCCATACACAGAATTTTTTTTTACCATGAAATATTATCACTTTTATTTTCATCGGTTTCTCTTTCAAAGAAGACTTGCTTAATATTAAAAGAATTAGTTACACTGACTCTTACAGATGTTGATGGATCAAATATTTTAGTATTTATTTTATCTCACAAGTAAGCATGGTATATTTACCTAGACTCCCCACCAAGACTGGATGTGGCACAAGGTCATTTTAACGTGGGAAGCACTATATGCATACTTATGACAAAAATTATTTTTTGCCCAGCCCCCACAACCACTGTCATGCTGGCATCAGTATTACACCAAGCCATCCTCTTTAGTGCAATGAGGAACTTGCTGCCACAGGGTTGGAATCTCCAGGGCTTAGCAACTTCTCCCATCTAAAATGAGGAGAAACATAGCTCCACTTACAGTACAGGGCCATTAATCACGCTTCAGTAAACCCTCATTAGCAAGCCAGTTGCCATTAACTTTGTATTCAGAGAGGTAATAAACTTATGTGGGGCAACAGCCATTCAGTATCAACACATTCAATCCAATAAGCCAGTGTCAAGTTAGAAGTCTTTTTTTTTGTTCTTCATGAAATTAATTGACCACATCATTCTGTTCTCTTCTACCTCAACTGGTCAACATATCATTCAGTTTCATAATCAAATAAGCAATCCTTGAATGTGCGTTTCTTTAAAAGATGGCAATCTCCAGATGATTGATGAACATGTCTTTTCATATTAAAGAAACTGTTATCTTGGGGCATAATGTTCCTTGTATTCCTTCCAGAAACAAATAAGCTGTCAATCTTTCTTTGCCACCCGACACACTCATGCATATTTAATTGTCCAGATTCTTGCCTCATAATTCCTAATTTCTAATCTTCTGAGATTTTTGCCTCTTGCTTTCCTTCAAAATTCATAATTATGGCAGAGAATTAATTAAATAAATCACACTACAAATTTATTTTAATACTTTATTTGGTACCTTCCACAATGCAAACTTTTGTGCATTCCATAACTAAAATATTATTTCCACTTCATTTATCAAAGTGAAAACAATTTTAAAAAAAATAACTGTACTCAAACCAAACTGAATTCTGAAATTGGATTCATTACGAAGGTTTTATTCGAAAAGGTTTAGATATTGTGTAATATAGCATTCATGCTAAAATTGTCCAACTTAATAAACCCTAGTTGTATAGTCTGGAAAAGTGTCCCCTTCATTTTGTTATTACTTTGGATTGGTGAGTTTTGCAGAGGATTTGCTAGACAAATTTATCAAAGTCTGCTAATTTATCAATTTTCTGCAAATCCACAGCTCATTTTCACTCCCCAAACTATGTTGAAGTACATTCATAAAAGATGTTCTGCATTCATTCTCTATCATGTTAATTCAGCGATATATAATCTTGATTTTTTTTTTTTTTAATCATTTCATCCCAAGGAAGCCAATAAAGCCATTAACACACAATGGCTTACTGAGTGATAGAAAATATGATAATAAAACACTATAAAGGAGAGAGAACAATAAAAGAACAAGAATTAAGAAGACAATAAATAATGCTTGATATTTCATTTAGATTTTTGAAGATCAAAGTTGATAGGGAAAGAAGAACCCGGAAGAGATTTCCTCAAGTGAGAATTGCATGAAAAGAAATTATTAGTATAGAACATCTAGCCATTTCAGCTGGAAAATGATGAGCCCTTGCCACAAATCTAGTACTGCATTTAAATTCATAAATTCTAGGTACCATAGAGGAAAGTTCATCAAAACAGTTACCATGAAAGTTTTTCTAGAAAATGCACAGGGAAGCTGCAGTCGGAAAATGGCTGAAAGGGATATACCATATAAGGACCAATAACATTGCATATTCTTCTTTGGGTTTGATCAAGAATCTCTAAATATATAGCAGGGGTACCAGACCAGATGTGGCAGCAATATTCAAAGCAAGGATGAATGGTAGACTTATAAATGTGTAAGATAGATTCTGGCAAGTAAAATTGTCTAGCACAACACGGGAAACCAACTTTTCTAGCAATTGATTGTCAATGCAATGCTGAATACACTGGCAGGCCTAATCAAAGGTTGGAGGTGAGAATTGATCAGTATAGGCCAGCTAAGATTCATAGATCAAAGTATGAAAATTTGAATAAGCATGTCAATACTTCCGGTTCTGCAATTGTGGAACACTAATGAGTAATCAAATTTGTACCTCATCTTTTATCAGAATTTTTTTCTGTCATCAGCAGGGCATGTTCAGACTAATATTTGAAAATGTTAAAAACTCTGTATGATAAGTCTAACCTCGCTTCTGTAAGCATAAGAAATGTTTGCAAGTGTCTTGATGTAAGCTGTTTGTATGTAATCCACAGTGCTCTCTCTCTGACAATGTAGGCATCAGGAATGATTTTATTTTATGTTTTTTTTTTATTATTTTATTTTTTTTACTTGTTTATTCCTTTTATGAACAAGTATTTATTTTACTACAACAAACTGTACATGTAGGCATATGGTGAATTTTTTAATACTTTTTTTGTTATTAAACTGGATATCCCTATGTTAATAAGTTCCTTTTTCATAATGTTCCTGAATATGAATACAAATTATACTGTTACTACCAGTTGAATAATCATAATTTTTTTTTCTTCTAGAGTTCCTAGAGAATTTCGATCAGAACCATGAACATGAACAGGTAATTCTTTTGTCTTAGATTTGTTCAAATTTGTCATTATTTAAACATAGATGTCAATTTAATGCTCAGTAAATGATTCTTCATTTGCCAAGCATTAAAGTTCAATGCATATAAAGCAATGATATATTGCATTGAGTCAATTTGATTCCTTTAATAATTGCAATAATTTTATTCACAAAACACTTATGTACATGAAAATATTTGAATTATCTCAATAAATAAAAAAGTCATTTTTTTTCTAATCATTTCACCCCCCCACAAGCAAGGTGATAATGTCACTAAGACACAAGGGGACTATTGGGAGTGAAAGGGAATAAAAAGACTTTAGAAGGACAAAGAATCCTGGGTGACCACTTGGGAATACCAGGTGGTGTAGTAGATAATGGCTTGGGAATTGTTAATTGGAAAGCTGAGTTGCAATTCCAATTGAGCTCATTTTATTCACTTGTGCACAAATAATCTTGGGAAAGTTATGAATCCACCTCTTCTCCTCCTAGCTTAGTATCATTAAATCATTATTATCTTAAAAAAAAAAATTCTGGCTTTAAATAACCTATAAAGCTGTAGAAAATGAATTAAAATCAAACCCAATCCTAAACAGAGATGACAAGGGATAAACCTCTACTCCTGTTCAAAAGACCAGGAAGGAGTGTAAACTGTGTGATAGGCAAACCTATATACAAACCTGATTATCTCAAAAACCTTTTGTTCTAATATTAATTTCATTCATCATCATCATCCCCTTGACTTTTGTAACCATAGGGTGGATTCGAATGCATAAGCCACACTAACTCTTTTCCACAACAATCTATCAACAGCAGCCATCAACAATTCTGGTACATGGCTGAATCCATTACGCTGGTTTCATTGCTACTATCCCTTATAGGATCCAATTTATATTTAGGAAGAAAGTCTCTGTTTACAACAGCATTATGCAAGGAATTGTATGTCTTCCTGCAGTTTCTGTTGAATACTGTAAATGCAACCCTGTGTTTCCCTTGTTAGATGCCTTAGCTCTACTGCCATTCCATCAATGAAATTCAACAGCAAGCATCACCAATCACAGGCTAACTATTGTTCACCTAGTAGAAGGACTAAGAGTCACTCAAGGTAGAAGGTTATCAAATGAGGATATTGTAAGAGTGTATCAAGAGGAAGCAATGGTTGCATATTATTAGGATAGATCCTCAACTTGAAGAGATTAAGATTATCATGACTAAGGCAGCATTCTCTTGGGAGATCATTCCACATTGCAACATTTCTGGGGAAGAAGCTACATGAGTAGAACTTCCTCCTTGCCAGTGGAATATGAAGGGAATGAAGATGAGTGTATGTGGCTTGGTGATTTGTAGCTGTGAAGGTCTGAACTGGTGCAACCATGGAATGCAGTTTGTCATGAAAATAGTAATAGAGTTGCAAGAGACTAACAACTATTTCCCATTGCCACACGCTTACTCATTATATCAGAGATACTTGGGCCCTAATGTTTTTTTTTTCTTTTAATGTAGAAGAACTAACAAAAGATTAAGTTAAGATTTTATATAGTCAGAACCCAACAGCTATTCTTTTAGCATTCGGCATTGTATATCGGTGCCATATGGACAAGATTAACCTTTCAAGTTTGGTAGTTATTCTCAAAACCTGCTTTCTTCTGCTGAATGACTATTGTTGCTTTCTGCACAGCTTTTCTGCACCAACCTTAAATTTGCAGATCTATTAGACTTGATTAACATGGATTGGAGAAAAAGTTTGATTGAAAATTCTAAGACGGTTATCAAGTACATTAACAGAGTGCTTAAGAAGGCCTGTGGTTGTACAATGGTCAGAATGTTGTGAATTTAACAAACCAAGTTTAGTATCTTAGTCTGAATAGCAAGGCATATAATAATAATAATTCATCACCAACAAAATCGCAATAAAACTCAATATAACAAGGAAATATAGTAAGATGGATTATCTTTCTAAATCTGTCATTTTTATAATTTTTCTATGCAAATGAAAATACTATTCAGTCATTGGTTTCTTTTTCTATAGAAATAAAAAACTGTTCAGCCATTGGTTTCTTTTTCTAAGGAAAGGAAAAAACTGTTCAGCTATTGGTTTCTTTTTCTAAGGAAAGGGAAAAACTGTTCAGCTATTGGTTTCTTTTTCTAAGGAAAGGAAAAACTGTTCAGCTATTGGTTTCTTTTTTTTTAAGGAAAGGAAAAAAACTGTTCAGCTATTGGTTTCTTTTTCTAAGGAAAAAAAAAACTGTTCAGCTATTGGTTTCTTTTTCTAAGGAAAGGAAAAAACTGTTCAGCTATTGGTTTCTTTTTCTAAGGAAAGGGAAAAACTGTTCAGCTATTGGTTTCTTTTTCTAAGGAAAGGAAAAAACTGTTCAGCTATTGGTTTCTTTTTCTAAGGAAAGGAAAAAACTGTTCAGCTATTGGTTTCTTTTTCTAAGGAAAGGAAAAAACTGTTCAGCCATTGGTTTCAGAGACACAAACACACCATGAGACAAAAAACATTTTTAACTGAACAAGACTTGTTATTTTGTATCTGGAATAATTTTTCTGATGATATATTATTATAAAACAGAGTTTGTTTTTTGTCTTTTGTAGACGGCTATGAAACAAGCTGAAGTTAACATTGTCTCCCTTCTTGGAAAGATCAGTGCGGTAAGTTCTAAAAATATTATTAAAATATGAGCAATCTTCTTTTTAGTTTATAAGAATCAATGTCACTGACAGTGTGCACCTGTACTTTTCTCTATTGCCTACATTTATTTTGTAATATTGTACAGACCAACGAGAACACAAGACTCTCATGCTTTAATTATTGTTTATTCAACTCCATCAATTAATGTCAGCAAATGGCTGTGCTATTATTGCTTATTACTTTGACCTTTTATCCATTTTTTTAAAAATCTTTAAGCGATTAAGTTTGTATCTAAGATTTAAAAAGAAGATGCTAATATCATTCAAATCAGTCCAAGAATTAAGAACAAATGTTCACGGAGGTTGATTGGAATAGTTAAAAATGCCTTCCAGATACTGAACAAAGTATTAAAAAACAGGAAAATTTCATTAGAAACAAAGAAAAGAATGATGGACAGCTATATAATATCTGTAGTCCTATATGGTAGTGAATGCTGGACAATTTCCTTGCAAATGAAGAAGAAATGTGATTCTACAGAAGAATACTGAGAATACCATGGACAGAGCATATAAGCAACAAGGAAGTTTTAAGTCAAATGGAGACAAAAAGGACACTTATACAGAGATAGTTGAATTTTTTGGGACACATGCAGAAAAAGGGGGTTGAAAAATTTGACAATGAGAGGTCATATTGAAGACAGAGTGAAGCCTAATAAGCATATTAGGTTTCACTCTGCCTTCAATATGTCCTATCAGTGTCAAATTAAATAAATGGATAGCAGAACATGAACAGGAAGGGATTATAAGGAGTCAAACATTGATTAGAAAGCTGTGAAGGGCCATCATTGCCCTGAAAGAAAGATTTTAAGTACCCTCCTAGTCTGTTGTGTTCACTTTTGCAAAGATACTTTTTGGCAAAAGCTTAAAACAATTTCAGCTGGTCAATTTTCTCCTATATACAGAAGAATACTGAGAATAACCTGGACAGAGCATTATTGGTTGATCAGTCACTGAATACCAAATGTTTCCTTATAATGAAACTGCTGATATCACCATTGTCATTTCATTGGAAATGAAGATAAGCATTTTCAACGGCTTTATATAATATCAATCCTCAAATATGACAGTAAATACAGGACAATTTCATGAAAGTAGGATCATTTCTTGAAAGAAAAACAGGAGACTTGAGGCAATAAGATGTGGTTCTTTAGAAAAATGCTAAGAATACGATGGATGGAACATGTGAGCAATAAGGAAGTTTTAAGTCAAATGGAGACAAAAAAGGACACTTATACAGAGATAGTTGAAATTTTTGGGACACATGGGGAGAAAAGGGGGGGGTCTCAAAAATTTAACACTAACAGGACATATTGAAGGCAAGAGCAAAACAGTGAGTAACCTACTTAACAAGCTTGTGCAAATGGAGAGTGGTATTTAGTCACCCCCCACGAGGGCATCATGTGGCACAAGGCCGGTTTAACATGGGATAGCCTCATTCAGGTTCCTCCCCGCCCGAAGGCAGAGAGTTCAACCAGTCAGCCGGTCGTCTGACTTCAGACCGAAATCAGACCAACTCCCTGAGCAAATGGAGAGCAAAACAACTCCTTGAGCAAATGGAGAGCAAAACAACTCCTTGAGCAAATGGAGAGCAAAACAAGAAATGGCAGGAGTTAGGAAAAAAAAACAGATACTGATAATAGCTACAAAAGATTGGAAGTTTTGGAGAGCCATGACTGTCCACATCCTGAAGTTAATAAAAAAAATATCTCCATCAAAAATTTCTCATAGGCATATCTGTGCCAGAGTTGGATAAAAGCCAATCAGAAATAGATATATACTTGGAAGTTAAGCATGACAAAAGAAAAGCACACTAATGCTGTGCCATTGCCATTAAAGATAGAGAATAGATAATCTTCATTAAATCTAAATTAGGATAATGCGGAACTATATCTGCATAGAATTAATTATTTTGACTATTCCAGTATGTCTCCAGATTTCAAATTAATCTTTAATATCTTTACTGTATAATATGTAAGAGGCTAGCAACTTCACTTGGTAAAAGCCCACTTGCTACTGAAGCCATAGTAGCAACACCTAGCAATGGTGAAGCTATGATCCTATGTTCCACAGGAAGGTTTACAGGCCCTACACACATACATACAAATATAATATATAAGAATAATATGAAGCTGTCAAAATAATAACACCTTATGCTTTACTTTGCAGCATTTTTTTTTTATCATAATTATAAACTATGAAAAATTTTGACTTCTTCATCTATATGCTGTGTCCCTTCAGGACATTGACAATCATGGCTCTCCACAATTTCTTGTCCTTTGTAGCGCTTGATAAATTTTGTCTATTTATCTCTCTCTGACCTTGTTTTGCCATCCATTTACTCAAGCTCAATAGAGAGATTAGGTGTTAATTTCCTCTGTCCCTCTTGCCTTCAATTTGTTTCTCTTCTTTATCTGTGAGGAGATTCTCATCCATCACCATATAGGAGGACTGACATTACATAACAGTCCAGTACTGTTTTCTTTGTTTGTAACAAAATTTTGCTTAGCTTTTGGAATGCATCTTTTGTTATCCCAGTACATCTTCAAATTTCAATCTAAAGATGTACTGGGATACCAAAAGTACCACACTTTCCATCCTCATTGGCATAAATAAAATTATTACTGGCTTCTTGCCTCTACTGCTTGAAATATTAATCATATAAATTTTTTAAAAATGATTGCTTTCTTTCATTTGTTTTTATACTACAATTTCCCCCAATACAATACTCAACAGCCAGTTACAGTCAGCAAAATGGTTCTGCTGAATGAACTGTGTGATATGAATGGCAGTGAAGGTGGTAAGGGATGAAGATTATGAGGATAAGGAGGATAGATACTATTAACCCTTGACTTGAAGAGATTAAAATAGTAGCGGTTAGAGAGCATCTATTTTGCAAGTCTGTTCCACAAAGTGGCACTTCTTGAGAAAAATTGAGTTGAACTTTCTTATTACATATGGAAGTGAGGGTGGAAGTAACTGGGTACGTTGCTAGCCGTAAAGGCCTGAACTGGTGGAACTAAAGAATGGAGATCATTTAAACATTTGCTATGGAAATAGCAAGAGTAGCAATAGATTTGCAACATTTAGTTTATGGGGGTGGGAAAAGGCTGCAGGCTGGAGAATAGGTCATACCCCACAAGACCGTATAAATAAGTTTGAACTCTATCAAGTCTGGAAAGTTAAGATTGAGCAGCTCATTACCAGGCATGGCAGCAATAAGCCATTTTTGGTCTATTTGGATTCTTGTAAATGGAAAGCATGTTAGAAAAAGTCAGGTACTTTTTGGAGTAAAACAATGAGCTGACCATTTTTCCAGCATTTTTCACAATGTTGTGGTGTCTATGAACTCCACTTGTGGTCTGCAGTAAACTTGAGGTCCATTAACTGCTGGATGTGAATTTAAAAAAAACACTTTTAATCAATTCTACAATTCATTTCCCTTAATTTTCAACAGATATGAAAATAGGTTTTTAAAGATATAGTTTAGTAATGAAATACTGCAGTAGGGATCACAAGATATGAGGGGTTTTATCTTTGACACTGTCATGAACATGGTATATAAGACATTCACTGGGGGGAGAAAATATCTGCCTCTTGTTGATGATTTTGTATTTAAAACCTTAAATATATAAAAGCAGTATAAATACACTCTAACTGCTTTAATCCAGCACTCCATGATCCCATAGTTTTTCAAATGAGCTGCCATTAGTTTCTTGAGCAGCTACAAGGACAGTACCACACATTGTTTACAACTTTCTGCAGTGGCCAAGTGTTTTGGTAATACAGTTTTGCTCCTTTTTGCATATTTACCAATTCAGCATAGTAACTATACACTACAGTTCAAAGATTTGTGGAAACCCCTGGTAATTTTTTAAATTGGCCCAAAAAGTAGTTGTTTTGTACTTTAAATAAGAGAAAATTATCATACATATATAAAAGAAAGTGATACGTGATTTTTTTCTTGGAAATTTTAATATGGCAAAAAGAAAGAAAGCATTTTATGATTAAATTTTGCTCTCATCAAAATATCCTCTATTAACCTTGATTAATGCAGCACAAATTATTGGCATTCATTGCAAACATTTCTCAAAGTATAAGTGTGATAGTTGATTCCATTCTTTTTTTCAATGACTCTAAGAGCTCTATTTCCTTTTTTCAATGACTCTAATAGCTATTCTGTCAAGTTTATCCCATGCTAATTCTGGGGGTGACTTCAAACTTTTGAAGTATAGTGTACTTATATATCTTACTTATTATAAAACGCAGATTGTGTGTGTGTGTGTGTCTGTAACGTTTATATATTGGATCGGATTTCCTACATTTTTCAACCAATTTCAACAAAACTTCACAGGACTACATAAAATTACCTTGTGGTGGTTCTAACAGCACCAAAAATGGGAAAAATATAATTGTTTTTGCACAAAATCAATTTGAAAACACGATTAAGAGACACCGTGAAAATGGAAGGGGGACAACTCACATCGGGTTGTTTGTGTGTATGGGTTCCTTTAAATATGGGAGCGGATTTCCTATATTTTTCAGCCGATAAAACAAAACTTTTTTTTTTTTTTTTTGGCAGGTAGTGTTTCTTATTCTCTTGCACACTTTTTTCTTTATTTTTAACATTCAGAATGCTTTAAAAATTCCATTTACAAGACAATTATTTATAATAAAATTCTATTCAATCAGGAGACTCATAACGATTGAAAACAATGTTTTTGTTTGAGTTCGGGTTTGACCAATTCGTAAAAAAAAAAAAAAACCTAAAACTAATTAAGACATGCGTGTCTGTCAACTTTAAACAATAATCTAATGATCTCTACTGATTGTACGAATACAAACATCGGATAAATTCTTTATCTTTAGGGAAAGATAATGAAATCTAAACATACACAAGTCCTAACTAAAAATGATAACCGGAACGGGAAACTACTTTAAATACACATGGTGTCCAATTTTTT